GAGGTATTTTCTGAGAAAAATCATTTTTGGTAATATTTGAAGGAGTGTTGTTTTGCCTCTTATTTCTCTGTACAAGCTGTACCTATTTATATATTATCAGTCGAAAATTGTATTTCCAAATATTCAAACTGATTTTTAACCTCATCTGGTCAGACTGAGTTTTTACCTCCACCCGTTCCGACTGAGTTTTTACCCCAACTTTCATTTTCTTCATCTGTTACTGAGTTAATTTTACAGTTGCTAAGTTTATTAAGTAGTTCGAGCAGAGTTATTCACAATAATAGTTGCATTTATATCATAATAGTTTTTATAATTTCATACCTTACCGGTCCCTGGATCTCGAAGATAAATCTACATTCCATGTTTAAGTATAGAGAATGTTTGTCTGGCTTAAATTTAAAATATATTAATCGCTTCAAAAAAATATACATGTCAAATTACTAGCTCAAATAAATAAAAATAAGGGTAATACTCACTAACATGGAATAGGTTTGTTTCATTAATTTTTGACGTCGTTAGGACCACATTACGCAAGCACTTACCATCATGTGGGCCGTAGCTCGTTTGTCTCTGTTTCACACATACACACGCACGCAAAACAATTCAATTTTTTTTTATTACACTAAAATTTCATTCATAATACCTTCTAAAAGGGAGCTTTAAAGTCGGCAAACATCCATGATTGCTGGTGTTGCTAGAGTTAATGGGCTGCGGTGATCATGTTGAGTTTCCCTCCCTTTGACATAACAAAACTATTAAAGTTTTTTTTTTTTTCAATAATATAGATAGTTTCGTTACCAAAATGTGTTAAATTATAAACATGTTATTGTAAATTCTTGCTTCAATAATCCGCTTATTCGAACTCAACCATGTACAGTGAGTATTGACCATTAATGGTGGAGGTAGTGTTTTAACAATTTACTAAAAGTATATGAATATTATAATGCTGGCTACATTTTTGTTATGTCGTTTGGTAGGATTTTTGTCAGAAGTATATTAAACTAGATCGAACCCTCAGCTTCCCATACGCCTATGTCTTTCTCCAATCTAAATTTGAAGTGTGCACTAGATTTCATGACGATTGATTAAGCCATTTTGGCGCCAAGTGACTCTTTTAACAAATTCACTTTCAATTGTATCGATTTGTCGAAAATATTACATTTCTGTACAATATATCTGTAGGTATTAAAAATTACCCAAATATTTTGTAAACTGAGATTAGAAATATTGATCCTTTTCTTGTTTTTTAAGAAAAAGCAAGCTAAAATTTTAAGGCCGGGGATATTGTTTGGTTTGCTTAACAACTACATTATTATATATGTATAACTATTGAAATAGCTTCAATGTTTAAAGTATTTTACTACAGTATATTCAACATAATACCTCTATATCATACGTGATGGAAACAATCATAGGTATTACCAATTATTACTATTGATATATTAGCCGTTATCTTTTCACTGTTGAAGCACACGGCCGGTGCCGAAACTATCATATCATATGCATATGTATGCGACAGTTACCACTTTTATCAAATAGACGGTTTACTAATTGGACAAGGCGAAAGGCGGAAGTTATGCGTATCTTCGATAGCTGCAACTCACGAGTACAGCGCTGGTGTGGATGACCTAACCACCGCAATACAGCTCCTCGTCTTCTTTGCTGTTTTGGGTGGCTTCGATGGGCAGAATATGGCACGGAATAGTTGTTAAGTTTGATTTGTCCAACACAAAACTGTATAGTATATTTTTCACTGCGATGCGCGCGCGCGACGGGTTCGCTCGGCAAGCGGGATAATTGCACCCTGCCCTGTGGCGTTTTTGGTGCGTCACTTGCCCACAGAGCATAATAAAATAGATGAACCCAGGTACAATCGAAGCGGCGTAACCACTAATAGCATAAAAACACACGGCACAACATAATTTATAATAATATCAACTGCATATTTTTGATATTTGTCTAAGTTTATTCATTTATAAAATGATTTATCAGGCCCTCTAGACAAGTTGGCAAGCGAATTCGTCGATGGAATTGACATCGCTAGTGAGTGCGTGAGTTGGAATGAGACATCCGGTGTTGCTATCTAAATTCTATCTGTCGAATCTATCGATTAATTCGCTTGCCACTTGTCTAGAGGGCTAGTTCATCTTGTCATATCACATTTTAGAAACAATAGCGTTATTGTTACAAGTTTTGTAAGCACACATTATATGTGTAATTAGATCGAGTGTAATTAGATTGAGCGAACTCGTCTAGTTTCAGGATCAATTCGTGATCTTTAGTCATGAGCAACTGAGACGCGAGCCTTACTGCGCGCCTCGGCCATGATCTGATTACATGTAAGTTAAACCTGTAGTTAAAATAGTTTAACATGAAAAGTATTAAAACATATTGTTAATAATTTCCAGAGATTTACCTGCAATAGTTTAAGACTAATCTATAGAACACATATATACCTCCTTACTTTTAAATGTGTAATGAGATTGTTCGGTCGCTTGTGTTTTGTCTCTCTTTTTTGACGGAAAAGGTCAAGCAAACTAGGATTTTGAATCTTTGACGCCATATAACATGAGAGTAACAAAGGCGGTTAAGCTATATCCAAAAAAACATTTGCCATACCTATTTAAGGTAAATGTCAAACTATATACTTTTTTACTAAAATAGGTTTCATCTTGCGGAAGTCAATAGGTATCACTGGTTATATGATTAGAAAGATTTTGTTTAATTCCGGAGAAAAAGTATTTAATGTTTGGGTAAAAATCGAAATCTGCTTCCAATAATAACACGGCGCGTTCGGCTGCTGTAACTCCAGCAGTATGGGAGACTTGAAATGTCATTTTTGGAATTTTTGATTCGTAAAATATTTACAAAATTCCTGAGTCCTCAGGAATGGCAACGCATGGGGGGTATTGTGGGCGAAACAGTATACTCTGTTATGTCCATGGTACTGCCCATGTCTATATGCGACGGTTACCACTTTCTATCAGGTGGACCGTCAGTTTGTTTGCCATTCTAAGTTGTATAAAAAAAAATTGTTTTATGCTCTGTAGCATAAATGGATAGATAAATAGATGATAGTTTTACATACCGCCAATGGTTTCGATTTCACCTTAATATGTTGTTATCGAGATTTAATACACAAATATGACTTTTTTTATTTTTATATTTATAAATACACGCACAAAGATAATACGAAGATATTATGAATGGATTTTGTGTAACAATATTGGTTGTTAATGTTCTGCATGTTATATTGAAATGTTATGGAGAAGATAAAGAGATATTACACATGGCTGTATTATAATAGTACCTTTGCCAATAAGGCAAAGGAATCATGCTCATACAGTTTAAGGATAAACCAAAAAAAAAAAAAAGTGCCAGAAAATCCTACAAACTAGACATATTCAATGCAAATGTTTATTTCATAAGATTGTTAAATAACATTGTTTATTTATATGTATATATAAAATTGTGCAATGCAATACTAATAATGCATTTAGCATAGTTGTAGATAAGGTTGTTATATTGTAAAATATTGTACATGCAATTTTAATATTGTTAATAAATACATTTTAAATTATATTATGTTTTAATTTAATCACCTAATATCTTTAGTATTATACTATCTATTCTATTATCATATCTATTATAATTTTGGCATTGGCAAAAAAATTTAATCCTACAAGGCCAGGCTGCAGTGCTTTAAGATGATCTCATTAGAAAAACGCAGGAAAGTCTCTGACGCCATATTTATGTGTAAACTTATAACATATAAATTACATTGTCCTCAGTTACTAAGCCTTATAAAATTGCGACTCCCTTCTAGATTACCTCGTGGACCTATAACTCCGCTAATACCTCCATTTAGAACTGTTCCGGGTAGTAATACTCCAATAGTAAGGTTCTGTCAAATTGAAAACAGCTGCAGTGACCAGGTCGATATTAATTTTGATACTCCAATTGTTTTTGTACGAAATATCTATAAATATTATAAAATGAGTCGTGCTGCTGGATCTGCTTACGGATATGATGGTTTTAGTTTTAGTTGTTAAGCATTTAATTATAGTTGTAAGCTATATATATATATATATATATATATATATATATATATATATATATATATATATATATATATATATTTCTCCGTACTTATTGTTATACATGTATCAATATATGCTGTGTTTGCAGCTATAAACAATTGTTACACTTAGTTCTAAGCTCCATAATTGTATATATATTTACATTATTTTGTGGAAACAATTGTTGGTGAACCTAAATAAATAAATAAATTAATAAATACTATAGTATGCATTAACTGATACCAAAACAGCGATAAAGGAGCGTCCCGAATATTTTTTTTTTATTGCACAATAAAACTTTGTACAAGTGGCAAGCTCGATGCCATATGGCACGGGCAGGATTTCTATACCACAATTGATTTTATTTATTTATTTCTATTTATTATTGTCAAGGAATCTCGCGGCTGTTTTTTGACCACAGCAAAATATCAGCGTTCTGCTCTTTTAAGGGCAAAACTGACTCTTTTAACTGAGTTGTGACCATTTTGTGTTACTGTGGCACCACGCACGAAATGAACAATTATGTTACTTCTTTTATATATTTTCCTATTGTTTTTTTTTTGTATGTATTCTTTAATTTCTTTTTTCTAGTATGCGTCTATATCTGTTTTTTTTTATGGGTGAAAATGGTATGGTAACCCCGCCTGCGCTAACGGGATACGCTGGCGGAGTACCAGTGAAGGGTGATCGATGAGAATGAAAACAGGCCAGTTAGCCCATCATGATGAATTCATCAGGAATTAACCATGATAGTTTCCAGGGAGAACCGCTAGGAGGTCGACCTGGTTGAGTATATTGCTAGCAATGGGATTCCGTCCCTTTCCCCCCTATATCTGTTGTTATTTGTGTTCTGTAAGTAATGCAAATAAATTACCATATATATCCATAATCATCCACTAAAACTAAATTGTAAAATGTTAATAAAATTAAAAATACACAATATTATTTATTATAACATAACATATATTAATAAATCAGTTGACGACGAACTCGTTCCCGCGCTGGTTCTGGTTGTGGCGCCATTTGCACGCCCAGTTCCAGCAGGACATGCCCGCCCACGGCTCGTCCGTGTAGAACACCTGCCCGTTCTGGTACATCTAGGCGTAGATTCAATTTTAATTTATTTTTTATGTATGATGGGCTCGGCGCGGATTCGAATTTTAATTTATTTTTTATATAACTTTGAATGGCAAACAAGTCGACGGACCACCTGATGGGAAGTGGCAACCGTTGCCTATAGACATGAGCGGTACCATGGACATAACAGAGTATACTGTTTCGCCCATGATACCCCCCATGCGTTGCCATTCCTAAGGACTCATGTGTTATTCCACTGTACCCAGTAAATTCACTGCCGTATCCCACCCTTCAAACAGAAACACAGCCATGCAAACAACTGCTTCACGGTAGAAACACGAACGGGACAGAGTTTTAATTTTTAACGGCTTACATTTTTAAGTTTAAAATGAGTAACTATATAAGTCCAAGAAGTAGGCATTATATATCTGAAAGGATATACATTGATATAGTTTGGCCCCATAGGAATTTTATTGTAGTATTTTTTTTACAACACGGGCAAATAAGCATACGACTTACCTGATGGTAAGTAACTACCGCCGCCAATGATCACCTGCAATACTGGAAGTTGATTCCAAAGAGTGGTTGTGCGTGGAAGAAAGTGCCTTGAAAAACGCACGCTGGAAGGCCGCCACTCGTCCAGATGGTTGGGATGGAACTTTAACTTGTGGCGGGTTGTACGGCGGTGAAAATCAGCAGAGCAGGTATCAATCCGAACAATTCCTCAGAGCACTCCCCGTGATAAATACGGTAGAAAATGCACAGAGATGCAACATATCTACTAGAGGGAGACCATAACTACCAGGAGACTTTGTACAAAAGTCGATTGCTTGGGTATCTCTGTCCCATTCGTGTTTCAACCGTGAAGCAGCTGTTTGCATGGCTGTGTTTCGGTTTGAAGGGTGGGATATGGCGTGAATTTACACGGTACAGAGAAATAACACCTGACTCCTCAGGAATGGCAACGCATGGGGGTTATCATTGGCGAAACAGTATACTCTGTTATGTCCATGGTGCTGCTCATGTCTACAGGCGACGGTTACCACTTTCCATCAGGTGGGCCGTCAGCTTGTTTGCCATTCTAAGTTGTATAAAAAAAAATCTCTACGCAGTTTCAGTTTTACGATACTTACAAACGACAAATCCGAGCTCTTGTATGTGACGCCGTCGTAGCCGAAACGGAATATGAAGTTCATAGAGAAGATGGAGAAGATGCAGCGCACGTCGGTGGTGGCGGGTATGAAGTAGCGGTAGGGCCCGCACCAGTACGACACCTTCGGCTCGTACTCCACCGACTCGGGGAACTCCTCGCGGGGGTTAATTCTGCAAATACATTATATATAATATTACATGATCATATATTTGTTAATACATATATCCCTTTCAGACCTGAACGATACGGGCGTGAGTTGTAACTTTAAAAAATTCTAAAACCGCGCGCAATTCATTTTTACGCACGAAGCTGAAATAACATGATAGTGAGATTCTAAACCGGCCAATAAGAAATCGTTTTAGCGGTTAGGTGGTGCAGTAGTCTCGTGCGTGCCGGCAAGATGGCTTGGCTCCAAAACACGAAACTATATTTAATTAAAAAAAATCTTGGGTCTGAAAGGATATATATATATATATATATATATATATATATATATATATATATATATATATATATATATATATTTTGTACAAAGTCTCCCTCTGGTTGATATGATTGTATAAAATTAATTGATATACTTGTATATGCACTGCGCGTCGCTCCAGTTATCATCAGAATGGCAATACAGCCCTTGGCTGGGGTCCTTCGCCTGGAACTGTTCGCCGTGTGGACCTACGTATGTTGCCTCCGAGTGGCGGTGGTAGAAACCGGTGAAGGCGAATGCACCTATCAAGGTAAGAAGGGGGGAAAGAATTGTTAGTAATGCGGACTATCAGTCCCATTGCTAGCAATATACCCTGTCAAGTCGACCTCCAAGTGGTCCATGGAAACCATCATACTAAATTCCAGGTATATTCACCACAGTGGACTAAGCGATCTACCTTTTCATCCTCACCTCACTGGTACTGCTCATGTCTACAGGCGACGGGTACCACTTTTCATCAGATGGGCTTTTTTTTAATGGATGATAATGGAATGGTAATCCCACCTGTGCTAACGGTATTTACTGGTGAAGTACCATTGAGGGATGATAGGTGAGGATGAAAAAGCAGGTCAGTTAGCCCATCGTGATAAATACACCTGGAATTCAGCAAGATGGTTTCCAGGGGGACCACGTGGAGGTCGACCTGACGGGGTATATTGCTAGCAATGGGACTGGTAGTTCGCATTACTAACAATCCCTCTCCCCCCCGTCATCAAGTGGGCTGTCAGCTTGCTTGCCATTCTAAGTTGCATAAAAAAACCTAACATCCGTCACTGGTGCCCCGCCATTAGCGCCGGTGGGGTTAACATTTAACAATAACCAGTTTCAATCAGGTGACCTCTAATGTTTAATTCCATGTGAAAAAAATATTTACTTAAAACGTGTGTACGTATTATTATAGTATTTAAAATAACGACCTAAGTTTCTTGCCTCCAGTCACACTGTCTATAATTACACCTCTCCATCCAAAGGTTGAATGGAAGAGATCGCTCTTAGCGACAAGGCTGCCTTTTTGTTTTTTTTTATACAACTTAAAATGGTAAACAAGCTGACGGCCCACCTGATGGATAGTGGTAACCGTCGCCTATAAACATGAGCAGTACCATGGACATAACAGAGTATACTGTTGTTCTCTCACTGTGATCATTTCTTGTAATTGTTTGTATTTATAATAATTTTACTATTGTAATTTCATGGAGGAAACAATAAAGAGTAGTGTAGGTTAGATTTACATAAAAGGAATGCATATTGTATGGCTATTAAAGTTTACAATCGTCTACCAAATTACATTAGAGAAATAACAGCTCATACAGTGTTCAAACAGACACTTAGGAATTGGTTGTTATGTAGTAATTTTTATACCATTAATGAATATTTTATTAAAAAAAAAACAGATGTACTTGACAGTCTATATTGGAGATGTAATTAACACTATGTTTTCTTTTCTATTTACTGTAATAAATTATGTGTGTGTTAAATAGTCTAATCTGTCATCTAAAACCACCTACATTCTAGCTAAATAAATTAATTTCATTTCATCTATCTATCTACCTCGGAATGTATAGCAATGTGGTTTCCGCTCGCTGGCCAGTATCATCTGGGCATCTTCTTGGTTGTGCGCAGACACTACGTAGTACGACGTGCCCAGACATTTGAATTCTGAAATATCAAGTTTTTAATCATTATCAGCCTTTTAACTCTCCACTGCTGAATTGGAGGATTTTAGCCAGTAATATAAGTTATATTAGTTAGTTATATTAGTAGTATAAGTTAGCCAGTAATTGCCACGCTTGGCAGATAAATTGATAACCACAGTCAGGCTTTAGAGATGTTTTAAGAGAGACGTTGCTGTTCATCCCTCGCCCTCCCTTAGTAGGTTCTTCCGACACCCACGGGAAAGTAAGGGGTGGCCCATTGCCGGGACCACACAGCCATACCAGTTTTTAAATATTATCAGCCGTTTCTTTACTTCCACAAGTGGCAGACTAAGTCATTTACATTCGTCGACTAACTGCACACACCCATGAGATTATGGCGGAATGGGTTTGTAAGTAATGAGGATTAGCCACTTGACTATTACATCATTACACTTGACCATAGTCACCAGTCTAGTCCAGCAATATACTTTATTAGGAACCTCCACGTAGTTCCCTCTGGAAACCGTGATAAACTCTTGTTGAACCCTTTAGGATGGGCTTACTTATTTGCTTACGGCTGCACCTTTTTATCCCTCTTTGGCGTCCCGTCAACATGTAGCGATAGCTCAAGCGGTGTTACCATTCCATAGAAAAGGACCCATGAGGTCATTGTTCCATCAACACGTGTCTAGAACTTCACTGATGAGCCTTTGTTCCCCATCGGTTAGTGGTTCCTCTAACTGCATGCTTGACCGAGAAATTTTATTAGGAAACCCGCAAAAGACTACTGTTTCAACCAGGTAATATCAGCAGAAGGCAATTGTTAGTTATGGGGTATAGAAGTCTAATTACCAGCCATATACCCCATATATAAAATCAGGTGGGCCATATGCTTGTTTGTTACCATAGTGATATAAAAAAAATCAGGTCGACGTCGTTGCAGTTTTTCCTGGAAATCATCGTAGCTAAGTCTTAGTGAATTCGTCGTTATGGGTTAACTGGCCTAACTTGATCCTCACTTATCATACCCCACTGGTACCCCGCCTGTGTATACCGATAGCGCAGGCGGGTTTACCATTCCATTATCACCTATTAAAAACAAAATCTTTTTGTAATATGGATAAAACCATATTATGCCGACCCCAAATGATTGGGATAAGGGTAGGAAAATGATGATGATATCACCTATTAAAAAAAAACTGACCTGGACTAGTATAAAGCCCGAAAGGTATCTTCGCCTGGGTGGACCTGATCTTGGCCTCGGACGTGTCCATCTTCTTGTTCAGCTTGAGCAGCACCATAGACATGAGTGCCGTGTCGGTGGCAAAAAGCAATCGTTTCAAATCTTTGATGTGGTTGTCTATGAACGCGAATAGTTTCTTTTGCGCGTTTTCCAGGATCTCACGCCGTTCTGTCTGTTATTAGGAATTTTTTATTGTACTCGGAATGGAAAACAGGCTAATGGTAAACCTAATAGAAAAGAAAGAAAGGAATAACAGTAGAATCTCGATTGTCAGAACATTGTTTATCCCAATATTCGATTATCCTCTCTACCTCTGTCCACCCCGTGTTTTTGCCGTAAAGCAGTTGTGCGTGTTGTGTTTCGATTTGAAGGGTGGGATATGGTAGTGAAATTACAAGGTATAGAGTCACCATAGTTTTTTTTATACCACTGAGGTGGCAAACAAGCATACGGCCCACCTGATGGTAAGTGGTTACCGTAGCCTATGAACACCTGCAATACCAGAGGTATTACGCGTGCGTTGCCGATCCTGAAGAAACCTCTTTACCCCCCTTTTGAAAAACCCCATGCTGTAGTCTCTTGGGAAAACCTCGGCAGGGAGCTCATTCCACAACCTGAATGTTCGTAGGAGGAAACATCTTTGAAACCGCGCAGTACGCGACCATTGAGGCTGTAAGACATGAGGATGAATTCCCTGTCGATGGCGAGCCGTACGATGGTAGAATCGTTACACCAATCCTCACGGACGACAACGCATGAAGAAGTATCATAATTGGCTAAAGTGATCAACTTTAAGCAAAGGGAAATTGTGTAATTACGATGTAAACAGAAAACACCATGGTGCTCGGGAATGGCGAATGGAATGGAATCAATGCATGAGAGATACTATGCGCGTCTCAGTATATTCTGTAATATTTTAGTGCTATTTATATCTATAGGAGATAGTTACCACTTCCCATCAGGTAACCCGTCAGCTTATTTGCCATTATTAGTATAATATCAATGTTTCAGAGATGCTTTCTCCCACAAACGCTCAGATTATGGAATGAGTTCTCTGTCGAGGTTTTTCCAAGAGTCTGTAGCATGGGGTTTTTCAAAAAAGGAATAAAGAGGTTACTTCAAAGACGGACACAAGTACGTAATGCCTCTAGTGTTGCAGGTGTTCATAGGCTACGGGAACCGCTTACCATCAGGTGGGCCGCGTGCTTGTTTACTATCTCAGTGGTATACAACATCATAAAAAAAAATACCGGATTGTGTGGCTCCTTCATGCGTCCGTTCATGTAGCTGTAGTATTCTTGAAGTTTCTCGAATTTCTCGTCCGCGTAGCTGTGGTGAGGGTCGATGACCTTGCTGCTCGGCATATTATATGGTTTCTGGGACCAAAGTAAGACGGATGTGACGTCACTTGTGCAAAATGTATAAAAAACATCTATTAAGAGAGTGTGTTTCATATATTTTTTTAATTTAATTTTCGAATCATTTTAATAAAGTAAACTGTAATAAATAGTATCTACTTGATTTTTAACTAAAACGTTGTATAATTTTTTTTATGCAATTTAAACTAAAAGAATCATATCATCTGCTTTTTTTTATACAACTTAGAATGGCAAACAAGCTGACGGCCCACCTGATGGAAAGTGGTAACCATCGCCTATACACATGAGCAGTACCATGGACATAACAGAGTATACTGTATCGCTTATGAAACAATTTATTCCTGAAGAGTAAGCTATTATGTCTCTGTTCCACGTAACTACACTGTCATATCCCATCCTTCAAACCGTTTTAATGCCAAAGAAACGGCTGTTCATATAATCCTGGAATGTGAAGCTGTGGTCCCTCAACGTTTAGGAATCCTCGGAACAGTGATGTCGCTCCATGCAGCCTGTGAAGATTCCAGGAAGCTTTTATGCTTCTAGGCGGAGACTGTACTAGCCACGACTCATACGCACAATGGCCCAAATGAGAGGGTTAGCGCAGAAAAGAGAGTCCAATTTATATTATACATATAGAATCTACACCAATCACCAGAAGGAAACTTTGTACAAAAGTCGTTTGCTTGGGCACCTCAGTCCCATTTGTGTTTCTACTATGGAACAGTTGTGTTTGCGTAGCTATGTTTCAGTTTGAAGGGTGGGATGAATTTACAGGGTATCATCGCTTTCCATCAGGGGAAACGTGATCAATCGCGGGACAAAATAAAGTTAATTTTTGATACTTACCGTTTCCACTGTTGGGAAAGACAGACGGGCGAGCTGTAACAATATTCGGTTAAAATTAGACAAGGGTGAATGGAATAGTTTACCCATTTCCATTCGAAATATACAATGTCTCTCGAGTTTTAAAACAAAAGCATTTTATTTAAGCAAGTTTTTTTTTATACAACTTAGAATGACAAACAAGCTGACGGCCCACCTGATGGAAAGTGGTAACCGTCGCCTATAGACATGAGCAGTACCATGGACATAACAGAGTATACTGTTTCGCCCATGATACCCCTCATGCGTTGCCATTCCTGAGGACTCAGGTGTTATTCCTCTGTACCGTGTAAATTCACGTTGTCATCTTCTTAATTTCTTTATATTTCTGGTCAGCATACTTATTTTTTTAGATATCTAAAAATTGTATAACTTTGTATTTTATGTATGTGAACATTATTTATATGTTTTTATGTATTTGTACAAGTGTTTATATGCATGTATATGTATGTATGTCTATATATATATATATAATAATGAGTAAGGATATATATTTACATTATTGCATGTATTGTATCTCCATATTTTAAACTGATAAAATTTTCATCGTGCTTCCATTCAAACTGTTTATAATTACTCCTCTTCATCCAGTCGTTGCATGGAAGTGATCGCTTTTAGCGATAAGGTCGTCCATTGTTTTCTCAGTGTAATATTTTCTTGTAATTGTTTGTATCTATAATAAGTTTACTATTGTAATCTTATGGAGGAAACAATAAAGAGCATCTATCTATCTATCGAAAACCCAATTATAATAAAACGTTTTATTCTTTTAAAATATAATTGATTAATATTATTCTTAAAGTAATTAATTCCCCCTTGTGCCACCTACCCATTTCTATCTGTTCTCCTTTAACCAAAGGTTGTCTGTAAGAGATTGCCCTCGCGATAAGACCGCCTCTTGTATATAATTTAATCTGAAACTGTATGCTACTGTATTTCACTTGATTTTTTCTAAATTGTCATTGTATATTTTTATGTTTTTGGTGCAATAAAGAGTTTATTAAATAAATATTTGTATAGTAGAGTTTATTAAATAAATGTTTATTAAATAAATATTTAAATAAATATACCAATTGAAAAGACGACACATCGCTGCTGGGCGTCGTCCGATGAATTGACAGTACGAACTGCAAAGAAAAAAGAAATTGTGATTTTTAGGATGGCAAACAAGGTTTTTTTTACAACTTAGAATGGCAAACAAGCTGACGGCCCACCTGATAGAAAGTGGTAACCGTCGCCTATAGACATGAGCAGTACCATGGACATAACAGAGTATACTTTTTCGCCCATGATACCCCCCATGCTTTGCCATTCCTGAAGACTCGGGTGTTATTCCTCTGTACCCAGTAAATTCACGCCATATCCCACCCTTCAAACCGAAACACAGCTGCTTCACGGTTGAAACACGAATGGGATAGAGGTACCCAAGCAATCGACTTTTGTACAAAGTCTCCCTCTGGTTGATTACTTGCTAGCAATTAGATTCCATTACTAACAACTTTCCCCTCTGACAACTGCAGTTTGGTTTTGGTGATGTTTTAACAGCTGCTACCCATTCCTCGACCATTTAGTTCTCTCAGTCGGCTCTTACGACACCTACGGGAAAGGAAGGGGTGGCCCATGCTATGCCAGAACTAAACATCTATACCTACTCCTTACGCGATGTCATTCCTCTTGGAGATCTGAACTGCAGGTTTTTTTTTTGAGGGAACACGACAAGGGTTTACGAAATAAGATCGATTTATTGGAAACACAAGATATGTACGTACGGACGGAGGATCTTTTTTTTTTAATCGGTGAAAATGGTTTGGTAACCCCGCCTACGCTAATGGGATACGCTGGCGGAGCACCAGTGAAGGGTGATAGATGAGAATGAAAACAGGCCAGTTAGCCCATCATGATGAATTCATCAGGAATTAACCATGATAGTTTCCAGGGAGGACCGCGAGGAGGTCGACCTGGTTGGGTATATTGCTAGCAATGGGATTCTCAGTCTCCATTACTAACAATCCCTTTCCCCCCACGGACGAAGGGTCATCTACATCCCCGATATACCAGAGGGAGACTTTGTACAAAAGTTATTTGTTTGAGTACTTCTGTCCCATTCGTGTTTCTACCGTAAAACATTTGTTCAAACTCATTTAAAAGCATGTTCGTAACGAATAAATTAAATATGTATGCTGGTATGGAAACACGGTGTGTTTAGGAAGGTAATATAATTATAAATATGTATATATAGCAGACAATAGAGAAAGATGCGAACCAAAAAATATGACAATATATGTCACAAAAAAACACTTTTTTTTTTAATAAAATTTAATAGGAAACCAAAGAGGTGATTAGTGCACAATGAGTAAATATTTAAAAATATAAATTTTTTAAATAACTCACAATAGTATATATTAAATATATGTTTAAATTGTCCATTGGAGCTTTAATCAACACTGCGGTTGTATTACATACCGTTTACACTACTTCAATTAGTGGCCAATTACGGAACAATTCAAAATAATTGGATAAAAATAATTGGTCCATAAAATTTTATGTACCTACCTAACCTAGCAGTTCAGAGTTGTGACATTTTACGTTTAAAAAAATTAAAGCTATTTTTATAAGATTATTTTTACGATAAGTATACAAAATAAAAAAAAAATAGTACCAGTAAATTAGCGATTATATGTTTAAATGTCAGCGAATTACCTTAATTTCCTTTTCTGATCGTAATAATTTGGTAGATCTATCTAAACTGTTACAATTTATAGATTTACTTTCTACCATGTCGACGGTACAATTTTTATAAACTATAAATGTATATAAACTATAGATTTTTGATATACCTATAGCGAAAAGTAATTCACAGATTGCTTTTCCTTCTTTTCCCACTCGTAAATTCACCCACAGAAATATATTTACCATAGTTTTTTTTTTTTCTAATTATTAAGCTTTGACTAGAAGCCATCAGTCCAGAAATATGCTAAGAACGGTTAGAAAAAAAGTAGGTATTAGCATAGATAAAGAAACAATGTGATTCATCAATAGACCTTATTATTAATTAACCCTTAATAACATCACAAAAAAATATTGTGATAAATTAATGTTATTTGATTTGATTTTCTATATGTAAGTGAGTGGCATATTGGACAACAATAGCCAATTACAAAACAAAAAAAAAAAAAACTAAATTACTGGCACAAACACATTAAAAATATTTTGATATCTAGTCATATAATATGTTGAAAAACATATTTGAATTTTTTAATGTGTTTATGGCTTATTTCTAAACAAAAATAGCCAGTCATACTAATGGTATTCAAATAAAATAATAATAAATTATAATAATTAAAATAACATTTATTATTATTATTGTTAAATCTTAGATGTACGATTTAATAATAAATTTATTATTGGATGTAATATGAAATCTCTGCTAGTAATACTGGCCTTTTTATATTAAAAAAATATGAATAATCATACAATAAAAAAAAAAAAATAAGAATACTTTTTTAGTATAATAAAAGGCTATAGTAAAATATTCTGACGTATTTGTGCCAGTAATAAGTTCATTTTAAACTACTAATAAAACTTTTTTTTTTCCACTTAATCACGATTCCGACACTTCATGTAAAATCTATATGAAATTATGTTTCTTACAAACCTATACCCATTGAGCAAATAATCACTACGTTATATCTATACCTTTCTAAAATTATTTGTGTTAAGTACCTATCAATGCCTGTCTTGCAAATTTTGGTTAAAATAAGTTCAATGCGTCAGATTTTTCGATCATCTATACTTATAATAAATCTGTAGAGAGGTCAATTCTGTACATGAAATATATTTCCAAAATAAATATCACCCATTAGTAATCGATACTGATGACAAAAATGCAATCAGTAAAATTTTTGTCTGTCTGTCTGTATGTTCGGTATAGAAACAAAAACTACTCGACGGATTTTAACGAAACTTGGTACAATTATTGTTCATACTCCTGCGCAGATTATAGTATACTTACTTTTCATCACGCTACGATCAATAGGAACAGAGCAGTGAAGGGAAAAGTTAAAAATGTCCACCCGTGCGACGCCAGGACGGGCCGCTAGTATTACATAATATAATACTAGCGTTATACTGCAGCTTTGTTCTTGTGAATTAAGATATTTTTTTAAACGTTCATGCGTAATTATGTATCATACAAATATATTTTTTATACAACTTAGAATGGCAAACAAGCTGACGGCCCACCTGATGGAAAGCGGTAACCGTTGCCTATAGACATGAGCAGTACCATGCACATAACAGTGTATACTGTTTCGCCCATGATACCCCCCATGCGTTGCCATTCCTAAGAACTCAGGTGTTATTCCTCTGTACCCAGTAAATTCACGCCATATCCCACCCTTCAAACCGAAACACAGCCATGCAAACACAGCTGCTTTACGGTTGAAACACGAATGGGACAGAGGTACCCAAGCAATCGACTTTTGTACAGTCTCCCTCTGGTTGAGTCTATTGAGGGTCCTAAAAGGATCTTTCCTTTAATTTCTTAATTAAAATAAAAACCACCGAATGCAAGGTATTTAATATTTTTTAAATTATTTAACGCTGCATCATCATGTACCTATCTAATTAATAAAGGTCATGATTTTTTTTTGCATTTTAGCGCGCTGACATAATTTTTTTTTAATATATTTTTTTTTAATCTGGTTTATACAGCGACGGGAAATGTTTAAAATTCACGTTCCTGTTAGCAATGTTCCCGCCCGGTCTGAACGCTCCATAAAACGCTTTCTTTGATATTGTGAACGACCGGCGTCCGTGTTTACTTAAGTATCTTTCGACATCTGAAGAACTCTCGGCTGATGAAGAAATTGCTGAAAGGAAAGCCAAGAACCTGCTTAATATTATTAGTGTGTGGTGTAGTTCCCTTTGATGACTCCTAGGCCCTCACCAACACTGTATTTATTCAAGGAACACTAATATTTACTGAAGGTTTTTTTTTTTTATGGGTGGAAATGGTATGGTAACCCCGCCTGCGCTAATGGGATACGCTGGCGAAGCACCAATGAAGGGTGATAGATGAGAATGAAAACAGGCCAGTTAGCCCATCATGATGAATTCAACAGGAATTAACCATGATAGTTTCCAGGGAGAACCGCGAGGAGGTCGACCTGGTTGGGTATATTGTTAGCAATGGGATTCTTAGTCTCCATTGCTAACAATCCCTTTCCCCCCATTAATATATTATTATAATATTTAAGATTAATCTCCGCTACAAGTGACTAAAATAATTATAAAATATAAATAATTTGGCCCTGGACTCCGGCCGACTGTGCCAGGTGTTTTTTAATGGATCATAATGAAATGGTAACCCCGCCTGCGCTAATGGTATACACTGGCGGGGCACCAGTGATTGATGATAGGTGGGAATGAAAAGGCACATCAATTGGCCCACCGTGAACAGTTTTTCCCCCCCGACCATTTAGGTTTAAGTTTGTTTTTTATACAACTTAAAATGGCAAACAAGCTGACGGCCCACCTGATGGAAAGTGGTAACCGTCGCCTATAGACATGAACAGTAGCATGGACATAACAGAGTATACTGTTTCGCCCATGATACCCCCCATGCGTTGCCATTCCTGATCACTCAGATGTTATTCCTCTGTACCCAGTAAATTCACGCCATATCCCACCCTACAAACCGAAACACAGCCATGCAACAATTGCTTCACGGTTGAAACACGAATGAGACAGAGGTACACACGCAAACGACGTGAAGATGAAATTCCTTAAGTATTATAAGTAAATCATGAACGAATATTAAGCTATGAAAAATTAACTCTAGCGCATAGCAAGTTAACAACTTACTCTGGAAATAATTGATAAGAATCGAGCAAGCAATCAGCAACAACCAAATGTCCATGTTATTGGATTAGTAATAAATTTTACAATTGTTTTTTGTTGCTTTTGTAATATCGATATGTAGGTATGTAGTAAGCACATTTAACTTATATTTGTTTTAATGTATGATAATTGGGGGGAAAGGGATTGTTAGTAATGGAGACTGAGAATCCCATTGCTAGCAATATACCCAACCAGGTCGACCTCCTCGCGGTTCCCCCTGGAAACTATCATGTAATTCATCACGATGAGCTAACTGGCCTGTTTTCATTTTCATCTATCACCCTTCACTGGTGCTCCGCCAGCGTATCCCGTTAGCGCAGGCGGGGTTACCATACCATTTTCACCCATTAAAAAAAATGTATAATAATGGAGTGGTAACCCCGCCTGCACTGTTAGTAATGGGGAGGTTAGTCCCCATTGTTATCAATATACACTACCACGTCAACTTCCACGCGGTTCCCCCTGGAAATTATAGTGACTAATTTATCATTGAATTCGTCCCAATGGGCTAACTGACCTGCCTTTTCATCCTCACCTATCACCTCTCACTGGTACCCCGCCAGTGTAAATCGGTAGCGCAGACGGGGTTACCATGCCATTTTCACCCATATAAAAACCCCACGCCTACGCTAACGGAATCGTGCTTTCCAGAGGTGACCACGTTGAAGTCGACCTGAGGTTTATTGCTAAAAAATAAGGATTAACATACCCATTATTAACAATCATTTTTCCATCTCTTCCCCTATTTTTTTTATAATAATGTTATAGTAATCCCCTCTGCGCTAATAGTATACGCTGGCGGTGCATCAGTGAGGGATGATAGGTGAGTATGAAATGGCAGGTCAGTTTTTTTTTATTGGTGATAATGGAATGGTAACACCACCCGCGCTATCGGTATACACCGGCGGGACACCAGTGAAAGATGATAGGTGAGGATGAAGCAGGCCAGTTAGCCCGTCGTGACGAATTCAACAAGAATTGTTCACGATGGTTTCCAGGGGGAACCACGTGGAGGTCGACCTAATAGGGCATATTGCTAGCAATGGGGCTGTCAAACTCCATTGCTAACAACCTTTCCCCCCAGGTAGGTCAGTTACCCCATCGTGCCGAATACACCTGGAATTCAGGATGTTGGTTTCCAGGGGGGACCACATGGAGGTCGATCTGATAGGGTATATTGCTAGCAATATGGCTGGTAATCCGCAGTGCTTACACGCTCCCTTCTCCCTCACCCACCGTAGCAGATAGCAGGGAGTCAATGAATGTAATCGTTTCCACAGGAAACATTTTGTGACTATTGCTTACGCAAATCTGTAGGAAAATTTTGGATTTTATAGTGGACTATAATAGGCTCAAAACATGATACGAACATCTTTCACGTAGAAAAGTTTCTTTTTATTATCAAGCAATTTTAAATAAAAACTTGTTGTTAAAAAAGAATTCGTCTGTATTTTTTATGTACCTAGATATATGTCAGGTACCTACTTAATATGTTCACCAATTCAAACATTGTAGGAACACATCACGAAAGATTGTTCGTTGTAAAAACAATGTTAGATGTAAATGTAGGTAACATTACGAATAATTTTTGCATTATTCATTATCGGCGAGTTAGTTTTCTCAGTCAACTAGCGCCATTTGCGATGTAGTGGTAAAAGATGGAACTAATTCATAATAGTCATTTTAGTTCCTTAATCGCTTTATAGAGGCAGCATTAACATTTATCTTTACTCGTTATGACTTAACTCGTTTATTAAATAGTCTGCATAATTCAATATTCTAATATCTACAAACTTAAGGAAAAACTTTATTTAAAAGGCGGTTTAATTTCAATGCAATTAATAAAAATAAATTTATAATGATATAATCTATGAGTAAACTGGAGCTAATTCTGAAACAGCATTTCTTTAACCTTATCTTTTAATCTAATATTGTAGGCTTTTGGAAATATTTTAAGATGGATGCTTCTTACGCTCGACCATAAATTTTATTTAGTAACCATTTACAA